ATGAGCTATAAATATTTTAGATGCAATCCTTCAACCGCATATATTTCATCATCGCTCAGATATACCAGTACCTCTTTTTTCAAGATTTAACCTCACTCTAAGCTACTTAATTTAAACTCTAACCTAACCACTAACACTAAACTTGCCAACCTTGTATTAAGTGTTGTTATATGTGAATGGTTTAAACTTGATAGGCTACTTTATACCACTATTTTTAACAAATAAACATTGTTATGTTGTACATATAAAACGGGTTGAAATGAAGAGGGGAAATCCCTTGTTGCGCTCAGCATTCCAAGTCCACAGCATCGTTTTTTTTTTATTTATTAAACTGAAACCAGCTGTTGGGTTTTCCCGATTTTAGTTAAAAGATACCGGGGATCAGCAAAATAAAACACTTCCGATTTCACAAACAAAGCCAACAGTTATGATGTTAGCTGAAACATCTCCACATTATAACGGTATTTTATGGAAACAATGTAAGTATTTAATTTTTGTACAAGAATAAAAAGTTACACGCTCAGCAAAGTTAAAATGCTAAATTGCTTTTATCCTTTCGTATTTTTGACACACTTTTTTAATGTTTTATTTACCAACAGAAATGTGAGGCATTTCTGGTTTCTTAAGCTTCGTAATGATATCAAACATGCCTGTGCTTTTTATGTTAGCAGGTATGTAAAGAAACTTTAATTAAACCACCAAGTCTTTAGATAGGTAGTTTACCTAAAGCCTGGAGTGAAAAAAATACAATAGAAAAAAAAACGCTATTCTTAATATACTCGATACAATAATTATCTAAATACATTAGTTTGTTTGGTCTTTAAATGAGCTAGCGCTGTTCCCGAGTTATATTTTGTGTCTCCCCTTGATATATATGTAAATTTAAATAAAGGGTCGTCCATAAATGATGTCTCACTCCTAAATGTGAAGAGTGTTTTGATGATGTGGCGGTGGTTATAGGAGGTCAGAACCTGTAGTATTACCCTTTTAAAAAAATTTTTTAAAAAAAAAGTATTTTTAAAAACGAAATTATAGCAGTTATTAGGTAGTGGCGCGGGGGTGGGGGAGTGGGAAAAAGTGAAGTGTGGCATACTGTTAGTATGGAGGTCAAACTTAACGTGCAGATGTCAAGGGGGGTGGGGGGGGGGGGGGGCACCAGTTGGGCAAATAAACAGTTAAGTCATTTACAGAAGATGATCTTCACCGACTTACAGACTGTTTTAAGCGTTGTAGTGGTACTGTAGTTTATACGCAGAGTTTATTCCAGCCCCCCCCCCCCCCCCCCTATCCCCGAAAAATATATACGCCCCCCCCCCCCCCCCGAACGAAATGGAATTTATAGAAAATATATACTTTTAAAAATTTCCGGGTGGGGGAACCCTGGTTAAAAATTCTATTTATTGTGTATATAAACTGCATATTTCTCTGGTGTGTCAAGGGTTGGGGTTTCTTGGCGGTGAGGGAGGTGGCGGGGTGGAGAGATAGAGAAAATCAACTGAGTTGGGACAGTCTGGACATTAAGCTAAAATATTTCCAAGGTTATGTTTATTACAATTAGAGTGAAATGCAATGTGTCACATATTATGTTTTCACCACTATGTTGTGTATAAATATATTTATTTATTTGAGAAAGCAAAAGGTTGAAATATTTTCTGCTTAACTAAGTTCATATTGTGAAATTAGTTACTTGATGTATACTACAAATATATAAACTTGATATAAGATCAATGCATTTATTTAAAGCTTTCTCACATTAACGTCATTTTTTTTTCTTTTTCTTAGTATGTCTCATTGCTGGTGCTGTAGCTGGTTCAGTAGATGATAACACAATAAGTGAGTTTTCTTTTTCAAAATTAATTCTTCTCAAACTGTTATTTTGTGCCTCGAGATCAGTAGTTCTTAACCTGGGTTCGGTGGAACTCCAAGGATTCGGTGCATCAGTCTCTGGGGTTAGGCAAAGGTCAAGATGCACACCCGAGACATACGATTTTTGATCGGATTTGTCAGTGTGGACGATAGAACTATGAACAAGGGTTCGGCGAATGCGCGTATAAAACTGAATTTCCGTACCTCCAAAAATTGTTAAGAACTACTGCTCTAGATAATGTACCTAACTTTGATTCGTTAATTTTCTGTATCTTATTTTAATAATAGCCAGTAATGAGATTAAAATTTAAAACGTGCAGAATGATTTAACACCGTGTCGTTTAGTTTATCGATCTGATGTTTAGAGGAAAAACGCGCGCTTTCTAACATGAAATGTGCGAGTATGGAACGAGAGAGAGGTAGAGAGGGAGGGGGGGGGGGGTGTTGATTAAAATTGTGGTGATTCGGAATCATTTTTTAAAAGTCCTGATTTTCCTTATTTAAAGAAAAATAATAATGTGCTGGATAATTTATACATGAATTGCATTTTTACAGATTCTGCGGAAAACAAAGCAAATGTTCAAGAAAATTTATTCCTGAATATCTTGGTGATAGGCGACACCAGAAATGACGTCATACAAACACTGAACCACAAACACAACAGTGTGTATATGAACATCATTGAAGCTTTGACTGCCGGCCGTGAAGAGTTCAACAACAAGGAATCCCTCCATGTATTTATAGATCTAATGATGGCTGTTTCAAAACACGAGGGTCCTCATACTATACTCCTGGTAGCTACACCAGGGGAACCATTTCACAGTCAACTTTTAGCACAGATCAAACATTTCAAGGCTTTGTTGGGTGAGGAGTTTATAAAGAAATGGTGTATTCTCATGGTGCCATATTTAAATTTAAACCAACAAGAGAATTCTAGAACTGAAGAAATAATTCTCGAACAAAATAATGGACTTAGAGACTTAATAGCAGAGTGTAGTGAGCGAGTTGTTTATATAGATGTTAAGACTACGGTTAAGGAGATGATTCAGAATCAGGTAGACCAGTTGATACAGATGGTACTCATTCACCAGATACAAATATCCGGACGTCGATTCTTCAAAGATTTTTTAAACAAAGCTGTGTTGGAGAGATGTAAACTCGATATGGCTGAGATAGTGGACCAGCTACAGGGTATAGACTCTGGTGATTTTGAGACCGACCTTGAAAATCTGAAGAAGCTCCAGCAAGATTCGACTCGGCTACTGACAGAGATTTTGAAACACGATAATGAAACAGGCGTTTTCCGTGACGTCATTAAGGACGTCAGATTACTAAAAATGCAAATATACGAACATTTGAACGAGATACAAGATGAATTTATTATTTACCTGGAGGAAGAACTAGCTGAAGAAAGGCGGATCACATTGGAGGAAAAGAAACAGATGCTGGACGAGAGGGCGGAGCTAAGCCAACGGAGATCGACAGATAAAGGATTCGTGGGCGGAGCTTTAGCAGTAGTGGGAGTCGCTGTAATGGTGGTGTACAGTGTAGCTAAATTTTTTTTAGGTTACTTTTTCAATTTCTAATATTTGGAAAATGTATTGTTGTGTGTATCATGTTCAGTTGTAAGTGTGGATAATTCATTGGGACATATAGTGAAGTTTGGCCTCAATCTTGGTTAATTTAATCAGAGGCGTAGCGAGGGGGGGGGGGGTGTGGACCGTACTTGGTGACACCATTTAGGGGGGTGACACCAAGGCAAAATATAACAAAATGTATAGAGAAAAATAATAATTCCACTTTATTAAGTGATTAATTCGAGTGTTAAATAGTGTTTTAAGAGGTGTAAATCGAAAGTTTGAGTGGGGGGGGGGGGGGGGGGGACGGGTGCAAATCGAAAATTGAAAGTTTGTCCCCGGGAAGGGGGGTCGCTACGCCTCTGCGGGGTGACACCATTAAGTGCCGCACCGGGTGACACCCGACCTCGCTACGCTACTGAGTTTAATATTGGTGCATTGTGTGACGCTTGGTTTGCAAGTTATTGTCACATTGTCATTGTTTTAGTTTGTGATTGTGCATGTGTGAGTGAAGTTGTGAAGATTATATTTGAATTGTAATGAAAGATTATTTTTTAAAAGATTATATTAAAATGTTATTAAAGAAGATAAAAATACAAAAGCTTGCTCGAATTTTCATTCCAACGTCAGATTAAGGTCTTGACAAGACGTCAAATCTTCAAAAGTTTAACGTCATCCTTACAGTTAAAGGCGATTCACGTAAAATCATGATCAATTTGCTTTTTATGCCCTGTATGATGCCATAAACTAGCTGATTCAATGTCGCTAAACTGCGCGCCAACTTAGTTCTAAAGCGTTTCCTCTTGTGAACGAACACTAGTGTTTTTTCTTTGAAGCTAATTATTATTTCGACAATGATTTGGCCTTTGTAACTGCTTTCTCTTGTCGAACTCAGAAGAGTTATTTCTTTATTTGGATGTGTCATCAAAGTGTAACATATTTTTTGATGCAACTTTTATTACATGAAGTGCTGGCCTTCTTATGAGTGAGCTTGGTGTGAAGATCCGATTCGCCTAGCTTCCAATTTATTTTGTTGTTTTTTGATCGGATTGTGGGCCAGAGGCGTAGCGACCCTTCCCGGCGCCCGGTGACAATCTTTCGATTTGCACCCCCCCCTCAAGATTTCGATTTGCACCCCTCCCCTCAAACTTTCGATTTGCACCCCCTCAACCTTTCGATTTATTTTTCCAACCCATTTTGGTGCCCCCTAAGGTCGGCGCCCGGGTTCATGTGTTCCCCCCGGACATGTGTCCCCCCCCCCCCGCCCCCCTCGCTACGCCTCTGTTGTGGACCCCATAAACAGCCTCCCCCCCCCCCCCCCCCGACCACAACCCTCCCTGTATTGCTGAGTCTGGCGATATGGTAATTCAGCCCCTGCTAACATATGCCACGTTTACAATTCAATGCTAGGGGGATACCGGGAAAAATAATCTGCAAGGTATTCAATGAGTTGGAAAGCTTAAGGCTTACTGAAAACCGTGGTCAAACTGAAACAAGAACTGGGTTTTCCCGATATTATTGCGTGGATGATTGGACAAAATGCAGGGGCACACAGAAATACTGCATACGTGTAAGGTTGGTTTGAATTACGTGTGGACTGCTCAACCGAACGACCTCTTAAAACATCTTAACGAAGGTAACTGGTCTAAAGATTTTACAATTACTAACTATATTTTAATGTCGAAAATATTATACCGTAGTATTGACCGTGTATTTTGTAAAAAAAAAAAAAAAAAAAAAAAAAAAAAAAAAAAAAAAAAAAACTATACGTCGCACCCAGGATACTTGATGGCAATATATTGAAACAATCGGTAACACACGCAGGACTTCAGAGAAAACTCTACATGACAACACGTTACCCCCCACACAATCACTCACGCACTATTACTCACATACACGCATTTACACATTTATAACCATAAGCGCACAATAATAAGCCTTGATACACACAGAGCAATTACCTAACTTACACACCTACACTTACACACATCTACTACCTACACAAATACATCGCTAACTAACTATACACGCGACATACACGCGACACACATCACCTACACACCTCATGTTACCTCTCTAGCCCACTGTACTTTTGTACGTCTATTAATATCCTCTGATACATTCTCTATTTTATTATTTTATTACATGTCTTATCAGAGTCAAAGTATACCTGAAATACCCATGGCTGTGAAACTGACATTTACAGGTAAGTGGAGTCTATATATTTATATATATATATATATATATATATATATATATATATATATATATATATATATATATATATATATATATATATATATTTAAAATAAATAGCTTAAAATATGAAATAATATTTATTCATATAAAAACATACACGTTTCGCACAAAACATATTAAAGTAGTTTAACAATCTCAGCTCGAAATTATGAACTTTACATTGTTATTAGATCTAAATCTTTAATTACCGAGTATTGCAGACTAATATTTTTATGAGTTTTAAAAATAAATTAAAATAATTATTAAAATTTGTGCATGGAGCTGAAGAGCCGCATCTTGACATCAAAAGAGCCGCATGCGACTCGAGAGCCGCAGGTTGCCGACCACTGCATTAGAGCTAATTCGACGTGCTACTAACACGAAACTTGTATTAGAAATCGAGACTTATGGGTTATCCGATGTGTGCTCTACCATCTGAATACGCCACCCCCTATTGCAAGACAAATATACAGACAAATTGTTACTGTAATGACAGAACATATAACCAGACAAATTGTTACTGTAATGACAGAACATAGAGCCTGACAAATTGTTACTGTAATGACAGAACATAGAGCCTGACAAATTGTTACTGTAATGACAGAACATCAAAACGAAATACGTCCCTACTACTCAAACTTGCCCCGATTCACCTTGATTAAACCACCATCTTTTAAAAAAAATTGTATTAGTATTTTTTTTCAATTCTTTAGGGTTTGAAATCCCCTTGGTGCACAATCGTAGGTACGCCTCTGCTGTAGATACAAGTCTAAACTCTGTTGTTGTTTTACATTACAGTTTGCGCCACGTTCATCAGCTTATGCTGTGTTCAAGCTCAGCACTCAGCTGATCTACACGAAGAAGAAGGACACTGTGGGTAAAGTAGTTTACATCTGTTTCGATAGATCATAAACTGGACGTTATAAGGCTGCTCAAGCTAATGCTCCGATGTGCCTGTGTCCCTAAGTGTAAATGAGCAGTGTGTAATTTGTCAAATCAGAGACATGTTGTTCGATACAGCTCCTCTGTTCCTTATTTTCACTCTTACCGCCCGGTAAGACATGACACAGTTAAACAGAGCTTTTGTTATGACAACACAGACTAATGGGGGGTAGGGGAGGGTACGACGAAAAGTTAACTTTCAAAACCTATCTTGAAATTTACCCATTTAATTTCATAAAACTACGCTTATATGTGAAATTGCATGGAACTTAGTCTATTCGGCCTAGAAAATTTCAAATTTAAATGCAGCTTAACCAAACGCCGGACGAAACAGCCCCGGACAAAAAGGCCACTGACTATATACCCACGTATAATGATTCACGCTAAAAGATAACTCATCAGACAACATTTACAACTAGACAATATTTACAGCGAGACAATATTTACAGCGAGACAATATTTAAATCGAGACAATATTTAGGTAGATCAGCTGCGGATTAGTTAAGGCTAAAACTATATTCTTATTTCGATAGAAAACTAAATGATGTTGAAGAATGCATTAAACCTAATCTCCAAGATCTCGACAGCAAAGAAGGTTAGAAAAATAATATATTATTCAAACTATATTCATGTTTCCCCCCATTTATTTTTAAATTAAAGTTAACCATAATTAGTTGAATGACGAAGTTTTCTTAAGGATAATTTTCTCTTCCATTCTTTTCAGTTGAAAGAATCCTAAAAAACAAGAGAAGCATCGACTTGTTATTGATTGGTAAAACCGGAAGTGGTAAAAGTGCCACCGGAAATACAATTATCGGCAGAAAAGTTTTTAAAACCTCACCAAGCGCATCATCAGTGACTAAAAACGTCCAGTCGGATTACACGGAGTACAAGGGTGTTGAGTTTAAGGTGGTTGATGGACCTGGTGTGGGAGACACAGACTTAACACAAGAAGAAGCAGACGAGCAGATTGATAAGGCCATGAAATACGCCATGACAGACAATCCTAACGGCTTTCACGCGTTTTTATTGGTGGTTAGATTTGGCGGGAGATTCACGAAGGAAGATCAACAGACAGTCACAGCGCTAAAGGCGCTTTTTGGTGAAGATTTTGTTCGAAGTTGGTGTATACTTTTGGTGACCCACATTGATAATTTTGACCCTGAAGAAACAGGAGTCGAATCAATTAAAGAATGGTACTTAAATCAAGAAGGAATTTTAGGAGATTTGATTAAAGAATGCGAAGGTCGTGTTGTTTTATTTGATAACAGAGACACAAGCAAAAGAAATCAGCAGTTAGATGTACTGATTGAAACCACTGATAAGTTAAACCATCGAAATCAGCGCTACTCTGATAATAACTTTAAACGAGCCAGGGAAGAAAGAGACAGACTAATTCAAGAATCTAAGACTCAATATTTGAAAGAGGAAAATCGAAAAGAGGCTGTCATGATCGTACAAGAGCTCTCTAACCTATGGAAACAGGACTTACAAACAAGGTTACACAGTCTAGAAATTCTTAAGTTTAGAACAGCCTTGCAGCTTAAAGATATCTCTTTACAAGACAGCAATACAGGGACTTTTAAAGATGTGCTTGATAAATATCATATGATTCAAGATAAGATTATAGAGCTCATCCATAGCACAAAAGATCAACAGATAAAACAGCTAAAAGAGGAGATCTACGAGGAGAAGATGAAAAGATTGGGCGAACGTGAGAAGTTCCAGAGAGAAAAGGAAAAGAATGCTAATTTGAGCAGTGAAGTTGCTCTTCAGTTTTTTGATATATGGGAGGTTGTAGTAGCAGTCGCTAAGCGAGTTTGGAGATTTTTTGTAAAATAAAGTGAAGGTTAATCTATTAAGGTTAATATTATTTCTGGTAAGAATAAACATAAAAACAAATTGGGTTGCGTTATTTTAAAGATGTTAATTACTATACAATATTAATCATTTCAATTTTATAAATTAAATATCTTCGGGATCGATTTGAAAGTTTTTAATTTTGAACTTAACTGTCATAATAATACTTTATTTCGTTGTGTGAAATGTCCTGTTCATATTTAAGAAAAAAAAAGTATTATTTTTATATTAGTTATATTAGCAGTCCTGAATACAACTAAGAAAAGAAACATGACAAACCAACCAGATGGCATCGGGAAAGTTTGAAAAAAAATTATTTGGTGCACAACTTAGCTTTAACCTAATATTATCTAATAACACAATTTATGTTAAACTAATTGACGAGCTGCCTATTGAATAAACCATTTTCGAATTAGGGCACAAATTAGAATTGTTGGCGCAGACAATGAATTAGGTAGAATTTCTTATTAATGAGATCTGGTCAAACAGCTTTTCCGAATGTATTTACTTTGTATTCACTCAAGTAAAGTGTCATCTCTGTTATAAAGATACTCTAGTACTGATTTAATCGGTTTGGGTTCGAAAACGGATTCTACACAATTTAATTTTCAAGTTTAGTTTTGTGTACGGCTGGTTGTACAAGTTTAAAATTAGTTTTGGATTATCAATAAATATTGGGGAAGACTTACATATCTTAGAACAGTGGTTCTTAACCTGGGTTCTATCTCTTCTTCGTTCTTAATTTTAGTGTTGGAAAGGATTCCCTCCAATACAGTTGTGTTATGTGTTAATTAGTTATGCGCCACATAGGCCATTGACTCCGATTTCAGCCTGCTTTTTTTTTTATTTGCTTCCATTGTCTTTCTCCAACAAATAACAAAAATAGTTGTTTCATTTTGGAGTTGTCTCTCATAGAAGAGTTGCTGTCCCCAGCTATCGAGCCTCATCTGCCCGAGGGTTCCAACTCGAGACTTTTCGGATTAGTAACGATAAACTTAACCGACTCGACTCGTCGACACACAGGGTTCGATAGAAACACAGGGTTCGGGGAGTTAGTCATGGGTTTGGCCGAGGTCAAGACTAAAACGTTTCATGATCGGATTTTGTTAGTGCGGGCGATAGAACAATTAAGAAAGGTTCGGTGAATGCGCATATGAAACCGGTGGAGTTAGGCACCTCCAAAAAGTTTAAGAACCACTTTCTTAGAAGAATAAATATACTATATATCTTAATTGTGATTGTCCAAATTTAATTTAATTCAGAAGAATTGTTTTTTAAACTAATATAGTGTGGGCGGTGTGGTCAAGCTGTAGAACACAATCGCTAACTATAAACTAGAGTTCAGTCCTGTAAGACATATGTTTACATTGAATATAGAAGACATTTTAAAGTTGCCTTTACATCTTAACTAATAACTAGATACAAGTATTATATATTTACTTTATTTTACGCTAAACTTAAAAGCACAGTATCTCACAGGAAACCATACAATTAGAGTGGAAAAAACATATTTCAAACAGAAAAAATAAACAACATATTTTAAGTATTTAAAAGACACAACGATCAGAGAGAAAAAAACATTCCGCTATTATCGGGACCAATGCGGAAACTGGTTACAATTGGCAAACTAACATAGCGTGGGAACACTATCATTAGCAGTGCTTATACCAATCAAAGTGGATGATTTTATCTTGATGATCCATAGTTAGTCAACGCAGAAACCTGTAGGTGCTAATGTTTTGAAACTTTCATCCAATCATACGTGGCACATTTCTTGGAAGATAACTCTGCGAGCTTTAAATCTTCGACAACAAATAAACTAGACTAGCAGGTTGTAGAGAAGACTGGCAGGTTGTAGACTAGACTAGCAGGTTGTTGAAAAGACTGGTAGGTTGTAGACTAGACTGGCAGGGTTGTAGACTAGACTAGCAGGTTGTAGAGAAGACTGGTAGGTTGTAGACTAGACTGGCAGGGTTATAGACTAGACTAGCAGGTTATAGAGAAGACTGGTAGGTTGTAGACTAGACTGGCAGGGTTGTAGACTAGACTGGCAGGGTTGTAGACTAGACTGGCAGGGTTATAGACTAGACTGGCAGGGTTGTAGACTGGACTGGCAGGGTTGTAGACTAGACTGGCAGGGTTGTAGACTAGACTGGCAGGGCTATAGACTAGACTGGCAGGGTTGTAGACTAGACTGGCAGGGTTGTAGACTGGACTGGCAGGGTTGTAGACTAGACTGGCAGGGTTGTAGACTAGACTGGCAGGGTTGTAGACTAGACTGGCAGGGTTGTAGACTAGACTGGCAGGGTTAGTTGACAAAACTGGCAGGGTTGTAGACTAGACTGGCAGGGTTGTAGACTGGACTGGCAGGGTTGTAGACTAGAATGGCAGGGTTGTATACTAGACTGGCAGGGTTGTAGACTAGAATGGCAGGGTTGTAGACTAGACTGGCAGGGTTATAGACTAGACTGGCAGGGTTGTATACTATACTGGCAGGGTTGTAGACTAGACTGGCAGGGTTATAGACTAGACTGGCAGGGTTGTAGACTAGACTGGCAGGGTTATAGACTAGACTGGCAGGGTTGTAGACTAGACTGGCAGGGTTAGTTGACAAAACTGGCAGGGTTGTAGACTAGACTGGCAGGGTTGTAGACTAGACTGGCAGGGTTGTAGACTAGACTGGCAGGGTTGTAGACTAGACTGGCAGGGTTGTAGACTAGACTGGCAGGGTTGTAGACTAGACTGGCAGGGTTGTAGACTAGACTGGCAGGGTTGTAGACTAGACTGGCAGGGTTAGTTGACAAAACTGGCAGGGTTGTAGACTAGACTGGCAGGGTTGTAGACTGGACTGGCAGGGTTGTAGACTAGAATGGCAGGGTTGTATACTAGACTGGCAGGGTTGTAGACTAGAATGGCAGGGTTGTAGACTAGACTGGCAGGGTTATAGACTAGACTGGCAGGGTTGTATACTAGACTGGCAGGGTTGTAGACTAGACTGGCAGGGTTATAGACTAGACTGGCAGGGTTGTAGACTAGACTGGCAGGGTTATAGACTAGACTGGCAGGGTTGTAGACTAGACTGGCAGGGTTAGTTGACAAAACTGGCAGGGTTGTAGACTGGACTGGCAGGGTTGTAGACTAGACTGGCAGGGTTGTAGACTAGACTGGCAGGGTTAGTTGACAAAACTGGCAGGGTTATAGACTGGACTGGCAGGGTTGTAGACTAGACTGGCAGGGTTGTAGACTAGACTGACAGGGTTATAGACTAGACAGCCATGTTGTAGACTAGACAGCCATGTTGTAGACAAGACTGGTTCCAATAGCGCCAGCCAGCATCAGCCACACTCCTGCCCTGATGGACGAGGTGCCGCTCGTTGAATGCTCGACCCCGCAGTTCTCCAAGAACAGCAGGTCGCTCATGTGCTTGTGTTCGTAGAGGCAGTTGCTGAAAGACAGTTCAATATAAGCCGTGGTTAGCTCTAGACTAAAAATGGGAGTTTGGGGGATGGGGGCGGTGGCGGATGTGCGAAATATAAGTTAAAAATGAAACTTAAGTCGGGGATTGTGCGGTCAGTGTTAGGTGGAGAGGAGGAGGGGGGGGGGAATGTGTAGCCAGTTCTAGACTAACATGGAAGTGGGGCGACGGTGTGGTCATTTCCAACTCTACAAAGAGGTTTGACGTTTTGTATTGTATTGTGGGCTTCAAGGTTAACTTCAATGTAAAATCGTATTGCTTCAGCCACTTTACATAGCTGCCGTTTAAAACAACCTCCCGACCAAAACCACACTTATTAAAATCCACATGCCACCTCACTTGAATTGAAATAAGTTGTACCCTTTTGATATATATCGGATAGCAATAGCAAACCAGAGGCGTAGCGACCCCTTGTAGCGCCCGGGGACAAACTTTCAATTTGGCGCACCCCATATATTTTTCTTATATTTATAATTCAAAATAGCAGCTAAAATGAGCTTATTTTGGCGCCCCTAGGGTCGGCGCTCGGGGACATATGTACCACCCCCACCCCTCGTCGCTACGCCTCTGATACCAACACAACCACATCGTGATCTAAAGAAAAAAATATCCTCGTCACCAACATATAAACAAGATGAGCTAATTGTTTAACCTTAGATTACAATTTATGTTAAGGAATTACTCTATATGATACCAACTCTCAAAACATTTCATGGCAATTTTAAAATACACTTTATATAATCACTATTATCAGTTAACCGTAAAATAACAATACGATTGTTTTTTTTTTTCAACATTGTTCTGGCTAAATGAAAACAATGGACATTTTAATATCATTAACACCACTAAAACAATAAAACAATAATTTTGTATAAACATTGTGTCAGATTTATTAAATATAAAAACAAAACAAAAAAAACGTCATATTATGAAAGGTAACCACTAGTCAAATCAGAGGCGTCGCTAAGGGGGTGCGGATCGCACCGGGGGACACCCGCCTCAGCGACGCCACTGAGTGAAGGTTATGATATGAAAGCAACTCACTCTCCTAGGCGAGCGAAATGGTAGAGAAAAAACACGTCAGTGTCGACTGCGTCACATTTGCGGTACTCATCCTGTAAGCATTTGATGTAATCCAGTGAAAGTCTGGGGATAGAGAGAGGGAACATGAAAGTTGTATGATGTTATCTTATGAAAGTCTGGACTACAGAAACAGGGAACATGAAAGTTATATTATGTTATCTTGTGATAGTATATAGATAGAAAGAGGGAACACGAAAGTTATATTATGTTATCTTGTGTTAGTATATATATATATATATATATATATATATATATATATATATATATATATATATATATATATATATATATATATAAAGAGGGAACACGAAAATTATATTATGTTATCTTATGAAAGTCTGGTGATAGAGAGAGAGAGAACAAGACAGTTATATTATGTTATCTTGTGATAGTATATAGATAGAAAGAGGGAACACGAAAGTTATATTATGTTATCTTGTGTTTATATATATATATATATATAAAGAGGGAACACGAAAATTATATTATGTTATCTTATGAAAGTCTGGTGATAGAGAGAGAGAACAAGACAGTTATATTATGTTATCTTGTGATAGTATATAGATAGCAAGAGGGAAGATGAAAGTTATATAATGTGATCTTATGAAACCATGGGTATAATAAGAGGGAACACGAAAATTATATTATGTTATCTTATGGAAGTCTGGTGACAGAAAGAGGAAACACGACAGTTAAATTATTTCATCTTGAGATAGCCTGGGAAATTCAATCAGGAAACACGGAAGATTAACTATAGCACCGGTCAATGCAAGAAAGAATGTTAAATATAAAAGTAAATATAAAATATCTGTGCTAATAAACTTTGAAATACGCCTAGAAAAAAAAATAGAGAATTAATTAGAAGTGGGCTAGTAGCAAAAGCGTAGGTGGCTAATTATATATGAAAAATAATTTTAGAGGGAAGAAAGCTTGTTAAACACATTACAAGACAATAAGCACGATAAGACAATAAACACACAATCACTTAACACATTGTCTACAGACACTGAAACACCGAAAGACACATAGACACATACGCCGACACATAGACGACGCAAACGACGACTCATAAATAACAGACACTGACTCTACGACACAGACGATTGGCACTTTGACTGACACGACGACACAGACTACGACACACGCCGAAAGACACACAATTACTTAGACGACACACTGAAAGACACATTTATTAACGACACACTCAGCAATTTCCCACAATACGTTCCTTAATCAGTTAGCATGTCACATACAAGATGAGCACATAAACCTCCAGGAAATTATCCCCACATACTTGCAGGAGAGTCTATGTATCTCTGTTTGGTTGCTGGTTCTAAAAGCTGCGCGTAAATCTTTCAAATTCTCCTCCGAGTGGGCCGCGGTCTCACAATGGCGCGTGTCTGCAGACACCTCACAGTCCGCCAGCTCCTTGTTATCGTATAGGGAGCTGCTGGTTACTGCATCGACATAATGGCATCATTTAACACGGGTCATGTCTTGGTGTTTTAAAACACGGGTTATTTTCTTAAAACTGCATCATCACAATGGCATCAGTTAACACGGGTCATGTATTGGTGTTTTAAAACACGGGTTATTTTCTTAAAACTGCATCATCACAATGGCATCAGTTAACACGGGTCATGTATTGGTGCTTTAAAACACGGGTTATTTTCTTAACACTGCATTAAACATTAGGAAGGTGCTGGTCACTGCATCGACATAATGGCATTATTTAACACGGGTCATGTCTTGGTGCTTTAAAACACTGCCTAAACACAATGACATTAATTAACGAGGGTCATGTCTTGGTGCTTTAAAACACTGCCTAAACACAATGGCATTATTTAACGAGGGTTATGTCTTGGTGCTTTAAAACACTGCCTAAACACAATGGCATTATTTAACGAGGGTTATGTCTTGGTGCTTTAAAACACTGCCAAAACACAATGACATTATTTAACGAGGGTTATGTCTTGGTGCTTTAAAACACTGCCAAAACACAATGTCATTATTTAACGAGGGTTATGTCTTGGTGCTTTAAAACACTGCCTAAACACAATGACATTATTTAACGAGGGTTATGTCTTGGTGCTTTAAAACACTGCCTAAACACAATGACATTATTTAACACCGGTCATGTCTTGGTGCTTTAAAACACTGCCTAAACACAATGACATTATTTAACACGGGTCATGTCTTGGTGCTTTAAAACACTGCCAAAACACAATGACATTAATTAACACGGGTCATGTCTTGGTGCTTTAAAACAAGGGTCGTCTTCTTAATCCTGAATCAAAACAAAGGCATTATTTATCACGGGTCATTTTATATCCTTTTAAAGAACGGGTTATTTTCTAAACCCTCTAAAGATGCTGTTCATTTTCAATATATCTACACAATTGACCGATTTCATGCCATTCGCTAGAACTGTATCTTCTCTATTGTTTATAACCGGCATTTACGAAATATGTCTGTTCATCCACAATACTAAATTTACCAATTTAATTTGTTGTCGTCAATTAAAAAAAAATATTATTCTGATTTTATTTAAAATGTGTTATCCTTAAAACACACTCCTCTACGCTCTTTAATGGGATTCCTTCCAGCACAATTAATTATCACGCGTCAACATTACAACTTCTTTTAGGCATCTCTTCGCGTGGAGTTGAGAGAGGTGGGCACTTCCCCCAACTAACGAGCCTCATCTGCTCGGGGTCCGAACTTTGGACTTTTGGTGTTAGGAACCATGCTGCTTTTATTTGCATTCAAAACTTTAAAATGACCTCAACACTTTTTGCACCTACTTCTTCCCAAAGCTTGTGTACAGAACAAGTACCCGCCACGGGTGAGATCGTAGCTACTCGGGAATTGTTTCTCGAACAGTTTGATCGTGTACGGCTGGCCGGTGTCGTCGTAACTTTTCGATGTGATCAAACACTCGGTGTACTTTTCTATACCGCTGGTAGGGGAGGAAATGGGATACGTCGTCAGGTCGTATGTATAGATGTTTTTTTTTTTATAGATCATGATTTAATAATACAAGAAAATTCTAACACATATTTTAACAGTAATGTACATTGTAATAAAAATTGGTTAAAATACTCAATCTTGACCAAGCTTAAGTTTTTAACAAAAATAATCACTATTTCTAAACAAGAAAAATTAAATTGCAATCAGCGTGGGTAAGGGATAGTAGGCTGATGTTTGACGTCATGTTGTGTAGGTGAGGGGGGGGGGTGCTAAATACTTATGACGATCGGTGTTTCTTTCAGGCGCAGACTATCCCCGCCCCCGCCCCCGAACAAAATATAATTTGTATACAAAATTTAAAGTTATTAACCAGTTCCCATCCTCTTACCCGGAAAATTAAATCCCCCCTCCCCCCGCCCATTCAAGTGTATCCTCATTCAACCCAGAAAAAAATGTCTGAAAAAACAAATATGACGATACAATAAAAGCTTAAGGTCATTAATGGTTTACTAGCAAGTTGAGGTTGAAAAGTGAATCAAAATGAAATTATAGTGTGAAATCACATCACAATGTCTTTAATGAGATTGTTAATTTGAACAATCTGTTTTTTTTTATATAGACTGTTAGTTACATCCAGTTAAAGATTATTGATTAAAGTTGAAGGGTGAAACAATCAAATAGTGTTTTTGTTATTCAGTTTGTTAATCGAACAATAGAAAATGGCGATGGATGTGGCACGTCCTAAGAATGAATCCAGAAGACATCGCAGGAATGGTGCCAAAACTGGACGCCTCGATGAAAAAGAGAACAAGGGATACGTGGAGGTGCACGGCGGGGAAGCAGCTGGCAGAGGCAGGACTGTCATGGGGGACTGCCAGGAAGCAGCTGGCAGAGGCAGGACTGTCATGGGGGACTGCCAGGAAGCAGCTGGCAGAGGCAGGACTGTCATGGGGGACTGCCAGGAAAATTGGGGGTGGCCGACAAAATTGAGTTTGGTGTAGGGTGTAACAAATGTTTCTTACCTGCACAACTGTAACATGTGCAGGAGATTCACTCTTGGGATGACAGACTTTTTTCTGCCAGGCAGTTCCATGGCGCAGTAGTCGTCTATGGATAAGACCCCTCTATTTTCACTGTGTGCAGAACCTAAATAGAGAAAAACAAAACACGACGGCTGATAGGATTCTTGTAGCAGGAGTCTACATATTTAATTAATTTGTTTTTTTTTTTTACCACGCAAATTAGACAATCTATTTTTCTTTGTCTAACACCTCAAATTTATATATTTTATTATGTTTGCTTTCTAAAGTCGCCAAACAGCTTCATTTCTAATTTCTTTCAGGCATATCTCCACCATTTTAAATGCTATCTGGCTTGCAGTATGTATCCTAGAGATCTTTTGATCTTGCCATGCGGAATTATCTGCAGCATTTTTTTGCTACCCTCTATTTTTCTGAGACACTCAACAAACCACACGTTATATTGTTTGACCATTTTCTGAGCTTTGAGTTTCAAAACTCTGCGTTAGAATTCCAAACTGGTTTTTTTAAGGTAACGACATTTCGGGCCTTGTTCAATCTCCTGATCGGTACAAGCTTTATAGAACACTACTTTTGTACAACATATGCATACATACATACATACATACATAATTACATAAAACCCTAGGGTTTTATTTTATACGGTGTTAGTGAGTCAATACAAGAAGCTACATAAATAACTTACCCGTTACACTAATGCTTATCTCAGCCATTTTAGTATGACTGTAGTTCATGAAATGATGGCTGACGATGCATTGCATGATGAAGGGGTTGCTCTGACGTGGGAGGGACATGTTCACCATCAGGGTCACCAAGTAAACTGTGTTCTTGTGAGGTACATTTATGTGTTTCATCACACGTTGACTGCTTATCAAGTCATTTTTCACGTTTCTACGAATACACAAAAGATAAATTTAAAAAAAAAAAGTCCTCTTTATCCCAATAGGTGGAGCATGTTTTTTATTTGCTTCAAAGAATGTTGAAACAGTATTTTTAAAAACCTTGAATTTTCAAGTAGTTTCAAAAGAGGTGTGTCTGCTACGCTCAGAGTTTCTTCCAGGCATCTCTTCGGGTGGGGGGGGGGGCTAAGCCCCCACGAAAAATTTTTACCGCCCCCCGAACGAAGTGAAATTTATATAATTTATATAGAAAATATATACTTTTAACAGTGTCCGCCCCCCCCCCCCCAACCCCGAAGAAAGTCTACCGCCCCCCCCCCCCCCCGAAAATTTCAAGTGCCCCCCCCCCCCCCCCCCCCCCGAAGAAAAAAGTCTGGAAGAAACACTGGCTACGCTGTGTGGAGTGTCTGTTCTGATGTGAGTGGTGTCTGTTTATGTAGTGTGGCGTGTCTCTTTTAATGTGATTAGTCTGTTTTGATGTGATTTGTCTGTTCTGATGTGATGTAATGTGTCTGCCTCCTATGTGATTTGTGTCTGTTTTGATGAGAGGTGTGTATATTTAAAGTTTAGGTGTTTCTGTCTTTATATTGTGTCATGTTTTTTTCTTGATAAGAGGTGTGTTTGTTTTGTTGTTATAATCTCTTTTTATGTTTTATTTCTGATTTAATATTTAAGTGTTTTTTTTTATTTTGCGTGTAGTGTGTTTCGTTGAGTGTGTACTGTGTCTGTTCCGGTGTGTAGTGTGACTGTTCCGGTGTGTAGTGTGTCTGTTCCGGTGTGTAGTGTGTCTGTTCGGGTGTGTAGTGTGTCTGTTCCGGTGTGTAGTGTGTCTGTTCCGTTGTGTAGTGTGTCTGTTCCGTTGTGTAGTGTGTCTGTTCCGTTGTGTAGTGTGTCTGTTCCGGTGTGTAGTGTGTCTGTTCCGGTGTGTAGTGTGTCTGTTCGGGTGTGTAGTGTGTCTGTTCCGGTGTGTAGTGTGTCTGTTCCGTTGTGTAGTGTGTCTTTTCCGGTGTGTAGTGTGTCTGTTCGGGTGTGTAGTGTGTCTGTTCCGGTGTGTAGTGTGTCTGTTCCGGTGTGTAGTGTGTCTGTTCGGGTGTGTAGTGTGTCTGTTCCGGTGTGTAGTGTGTCTGTTCCGTTGTGTAGTGTGTCTGTTCCGGTGTGTAGTGTGTCTGTTCCGGTGTGTAGTGTGTCTGTTCCGTTGTGTAGTGTGTCTGTTCCGGTGTGTAGTGTGTCTGTTCCGTTGTGTAGTGTGTCTTTTCCGGTGTGTAGTGTGTCTGTTCGGGTGTGTAGTGTGTCTGTTCCGGTGTGTAGTGTGTCTGTTCGGGTGTGTAGTGTGTCTGTTCCGGTGTGTAGTGTGTCTGTTCCGGTGTGTAGTGTGTCTGTTCGGGTGTGTAGTGTGTCTGTTCCGGTGTGTAGTGTGTCTGTTCCGTTGTGTAGTGTGTCTGTTCCGGTGTGTAGTGTGTCTGTTCCGGTGTGTAGTGTGTCTGTTCGGGTGTGTAGTGTGCCTGTTCCGGTGTGTAGTGTGTCTGTTCCGGTGTGTAGTGTGTGTGTTCCAGTGTGTAGTGTGTCTGTTCCGGTGTGTAGTGTGTCTGTTCCGGTGTGTAGTGTGCCTGTTCCGGTGTGTAGTGTGTCTGTTCCGGTGTGTATTGAACGAACCTGATGACCACACTTGGCATGACGTAGCTTGCGCCTCTTGATATGCACGTCCATGTGTACTTGACGTCTGGCCTGACTTCCCTTGGCCCAATCCACGCTGGCTGCGTCGGCATCACTGTAGAAAATACAACAAATGTGGTACCGGACACGGCACCACTGTAGACAATGCAACAAATGTGGTACCGGACACGGCACCACTGTAGACAATACAACAAATGTGGTACCGCACACGGCACCACTGTAGACAATGCAACAAATGTGGTACCGGACACGGCACCACTGTAGACAATGCAACAAATGGGTACCAGACACGGCACCACAACACAAAACAAATGTGGTACCAGACACGGCACCACAACACAAAACAAATGTGGTACCAGACACGGCACCACAACACAAAACAAATGTGGTACCAGACACGGCACCACAACACAAAATAAATGTGGTACCAGACACGGCACCACAACACAAAACAAATGTGGTACAAGACACGGCACCACAACACAAAACAAATGTGGTATCAGACACGGCACCACAACACAAAATAAATGTGGTACCAGACACGGCACCACAACACAAAACAAATGTGGTACAAGACACGGCACCACAACACAAAACAAATATGGTATCAGACACGGCACCACAACACAAAACAAAGCAAATGTGGTACCAGACACGGTACCACAACACAAAACAAATGTGGTATCAGACACGGCACCACAACACAAAACAAATGTGGTATCAGACACGGCACCACAACACAAAACAAATGTGGTATCAGACACGGCACCACAACACAAAATAAATGTGGTACCAGACACGGCACCACAACACAAAACAAATGTGGTATCAGACACGGCACCTCAACACAAAACAAATGTGGTATCAGACACGGCACCACAACACAAAACAAATGTGGTATCAGACACGGCACCACAACACAAAACAAATGTGGTACCAGACACGGCACCACAACACAAAATAAATGTGGTACCAGACACGGCACCACAACACAAAACAAATGTGGTATCAGACACGGCACCACAACACAAAACAAATGTGGTATCAGACACGGCACCACAACACAAAACAAATGTGGTATCAGACACGGCACCACAACACAAAACAAATGTGGTACCAGACACGGCACCACAACACAAAACAAATGTGGTACAAGACACGGCACCACAACACAAAACAAATGTGGTATCAGACACGGCACCACAACACAAAACAAATGTGGTATCAGACACGGCACCACAACACAAAACAAATGTGGTACCAGACACGGCACCACAACACTAAACAAATGTGGTACAAGACACGGCACCACAACACTAAACAAATGTGGTACCAGACACGGCACCATTGTAGAAAACGAACAACTCACACATGACTTAGCTGCGAGACCAGATGAAGTCGCAAATGACTTCACTAAAAGACTAGATACACCCAACTCACAAATGACTTAGCTACAAGACTAGATGAAGTCACAAATGACTTAGCTACGAGACTAGTTACACCCAACTCACAAATGATTTAGCTACGAGACACCCAACTCACAAATGACTTAGCTACGAGACACCCAACTCACAAATGACTTAGCTACGAGACACCCAACTCACAAATGACTTAGCTACGAGACTAGATACACCCAACTCACAAATGACTTAGCTACGAGACACCCAACTCACAAATGACTTAGCTACGAGACTAGATACACCCAACTCACAAATGACTCACAGATAACATTTGGCACAAATGTGATGTTCCGCCTGTCGTTGCCCAGCTTATAATGGCACGTGATGCCCTTCTGGTTGTCTAAAGAATTTATCGTAAAACTTATTTTTGTGATGTACGTCTTAGTTTCCTGTGTACAGAGATAATACAGTTTGTTATTTGTACAAATTAGCATTATGAGATAACTCGCCCGTTGATGAAAAATCCAACGGGTGCTAAGGAATTTGATGACATTTTAGTACTTTCTAAAAAAAAGTTTAGAATTTTTTCGTTAAATTACTTGGTAGCAAAAATAATTTTTTTTTTGTTAGAATTCTTTAGCTTTAAAATTCTGCTTTTAATGTTTTATAACTTAATAAGTAAAATGTAAAAAAAAAGTTTTTGTTTAATAACCAACTATCTAAAATAAGGTTGTCTTGTTTTTAAAAGAATTTACCAGCTAAAATAATGGTTTTCAATGTATATATATATATATATATATATATATATATATATATATATATATATATATATATATATATATATATATATATAAATATATGTATATAATTATGTCTTGTTTGTTTAATCAAGCCTGAACACGATTCACACGAGAGGTCACTATAGTAACACTAGTAAACAAAGTTGATGCTTACGTTGGATGTGGTGTCCACTATTTTAGCATTGTGCGGAAGTCCATCTACTCTAGTCCATGACAGCTGGGGTGGCAGGGAAGGGTCAAACATGTGAGCGCTGCACGTGACCACACAGATGGAACCCTCCACGCTGAGGGACGGGCCGGATATCTGTAGGGGTTGGTCTGCTGCTGGGGTAGAGTTATGCAGGTGAGGATGGGGTTGGGTGGGGGGGATACACAGAGGTAAGGGAGGATACACGGAGGAAAAGGGGATACACGAATGAAAGGGTGGGGACGATACATTGAGGTGAGGGGGTGAATATATGGAGGTAAGGATGGGGTGTGGGGGTAATACATGGAGGTGAGGGTGGGGAGAGTACAAGGAGGTAAGGGTGGGGGTGGGGATAATACATAGAGATGAGGGTAGGGGGGGTAAATACATGGAGGTGCGGTGGAGAGGGTGATAAACGGAGGTAAGGGCGAGGTGAATTAATGGAAATAAGTGTAGCGTGAATACATGGAGGTGAGAGTGGGCGGATGTATACATGGACGTGAGGACGGGGTGGGGAGAATAGACGGAGGTAAGGGGGCAGAGAATACATGGAGATGGGGGTAGTTGAAAAAATGAAGAGGTGGATGGGGTGGGTGTGAATACACGTAGGTGGAGGGGTACATACATGGAGGTGAGGGTGGGGGGTACATACATGGAGGTGAGGGTGGGGTGAATATATGGAGGTTAGGGTGGGGTGAATATATGGAGGTGAGGGTGGGGTGAATATATGGAGGTGAGAGTGGGGTGAATGCATGGAGCTTAGGGTGGGGTGAATATATGGAGGTGAGGGTGGGGTGAATATATGGAGGTTAGGGTGGGGTGAATATATGGAGGTGAGGGTGGGGTGAATGCATGGAGCTTAGGGTGGGGTGAATATATGGAGGTTAGGGTGGGGTGAATATATGGAGGTGAGGGTGGGGTGAATATATGTAGGTGAGGGTGGGGTGAATATATGGAGGTGAGGGTGGGGTAAATATATGTAGGTTAGGGTGGGGTGAATATATGGAGGTTAGGGTGGGGTGAATATATGGAGGTGAGGGTGGGGTGAATATATGGTGAGGGTGGGGTGAATATATGGTGGTGAGAGTGGGGTGAATATATGGAGGTGAGGGTGGGGTGAATATATGGAGGTGAGGGTGGGGTGAATACACGTAAGTGAGGGCGGGGTGAATATATGGAGGTGAGGGTGGGGTGAATATATGGAGGTGAGGGCGGGGTGAATATATGGAGGTTAGGGTGGGGTGAATATATGGAGGTTAGGGTGGGGTGAATATATGGAGGTGAGAGTGGGGTGAATATATGGAGGTTAGGGTGGGGTGAATATATGGAGGTGAAAGTGGGGTGAATGCATGGAGCTTAGGGTGGGGTGAATATATGGAGGTGAAAGTGGGGTGAATGCATGGAGCTTAGGGTGGGGTGAATATATGGAGGTTAGGGTGGGGAGAATATATGGAGGTGAGGGTGGGGTGAATATATGGAGGTGAAAGTGGGGTGAATGCATGGAGCTTAGGGTGGGGTGAATATATGGAGGTTAGGGTGGGGAGAATATATGGAGGTGAGGGTGGGGTGAATATATGGAGGTGAGGGTGGGGTGAATGCATGGAGCTTAGGGTGGGGTGAATATATGTAGGTGAGGGTGGGGTGAATATATTGAGGTGAGGGTGGGGTGAATACACGTAGGTGAGGGTGGGGTGAATATATGGAGGTGAGGGTGGGGTGAATAAATTAAGATGAGGATGGGGTAGGGGGATGGAGGTAATACATGGAGTTAATGGGCAGTAAATAAGGGGGTAGTGGATACATGGATGTAAGTGGGCAGTGGATACACGGAGTTAAGTTGGCAGTGAGGTGATGGGGCTGTGAATACATGAAGGTAAGGGGACAATGAATACTCAATTTTATGGGAGGATATATTTGGAATATAGTGTAGCTGTTAGATCTTTATTAAAAAGCTTCATGCATGAATGAAATCACTCAAAATGGGTATCTCGTCAAAATATGCATAGCAGTATATTAATTACTTGCACATACGATCAATCTTCGCGTAACGCTATCCATTTCTTCTAAAAAGAGATGAATTCTTCTTCTGATAACTACTGCCTCTACCAACTACTGCCTCTTTTCGGTTTTGTCCTAAGCAAAATATTTCACTTGACTGGCACAACTTAGTGAACTATCGCAGAAGCGTAGCGAGGGGGGGGGGGGTGCGGGGGGTGCGGACCGCAACGGGTGACACCATTTAGGGGGGGGGGGGTGACAGCAAGGCAAAAAAATAGCAAAATATATAGAGTAAAACTTGAGGGGGTGGGTGCAAATCGAAAGTTTGAGGAGGAGGGGTGCAAATCGAAAATTTGAAAGTTTGTCCCCGGGAAGGGTGGCTACGCCTCTGGGGGGGGGGGGGGGTGACACCATTAAGTACCGCACCGGGTGACACCGACCTTGCTACGTCACTGATCTATCGATTTGTCTGAAAATAGTATTTACTTTTTTTTGCCTTTAATGCGACATTTCTATGTGTTTATATCAAACCGACTTTTAACCTGAAGTGTTTTTAATACAAGACAAACTGTGATTGGCTGTTTTATTTGTTCTTTATTTGTGTATGTTTTTCTGCTTTTTATTCCTAACGTTTTTAGTAAATAATTGTAAGACCTATCCAGTTTGGTTATATTTCCTATGTAATAAACATGAGATAAAAACATTAATATTTTGGTCTTTTATCAACTTTTGTAAAGTTACTGGATTGACTAAAACATGAAAAACGTCGAATCTTTTGAAAAGTGAATTAAAAATCACACAATCAAACTTGTATAAACACATCTCTTTTAATAACATCACACGGGATTTTAAAATAATTAAAGGACTGGAGTGTTCTCCTTACTAGCTGTTAATAATGTTATCTTGTGTAATTTCCTCCTAGATCAAGTCTAGATTCTATATTTCACACATAGATCAAGATCAAGATCTTTCTAGATCTATATCTCATAGACAAATAGATCTAGATCTAGATCTACCACATAAACTGGATCTAGAATCTAGATCTAGATCTATAAAAATTACATTTGCAACCAAACTGTGATTTTAATCGCACTCTACAATAGTTAAACACTTACTAAAACGTTCCAAAGATAGGCATAGATCCAGCACCGTCAGTGTTATCGCTAGTGGTAAAAGTTTCATATCAGTGGCTTGTTTGTCTTTGAGTTCAAGTTATCAACAAACACAAATCTTGCCAAATTAGTTATGGTTTGTTATTTGCTTGAGATTGCGCACCAAGTCGGTTTACGTCATCCGGTGCATTGTTTAGTTACATGGATGCACACCAATGCACACCAATGCACACCAATGCACACCAATGCACGCCAATGTCATGTTTTCCGTATGTCACAACATGATAAGAAAAAGTATGATAAGTCACATACCGAACAGAGACACCAAGACAAAACCTTCTACGACAACAGACAGTTTGATAAGATTCCATAGCACAAGACACACTACAACACACATTGTAGCTAGACACATTACAACAAGACACATTATAACAAGACACGTTATAATAACACACATTATAACAAGACACACTTTATAACAAGACACACTACAACACATATTATAACCAGGCACACTACTACACACAATATAACAAGACACCCTAGGGTGAGGGTTAGGGTTAGGGTTAGGGTGTGTATTAAAAACATATAACACCAAGAGTACAAAATAAAATTTTAATTAAAGTGTTTTAATTTGTAAAAAAAGTAAACTATAAACTACTTTAAAACTCTTTTTAAAAACTCCAAATATAAATATGTAACTATAGAAAAGGGTTATAAAACTATTAACATGTTAAAATAATAAACGAAAAAAAAAACTTTACTGTTCTATACAAAGCATTCAAATAAGTTTTAACAATATTCAAAGCAGGTTAATTATGAAGTGTTAAACTATACTGATTTCTACATCACACAATTGTAATATATCAAGGAAAATACTGGAATATGTTGAGTTAAAAATGTAATAAAAATAAAACTTTTGAATACGAGTCACCCAATGGAAATTGCATTGCTTATAAATTTGCAAATGAAATTAAAAAGTGCTTTGCCAGCTTTCCACAACATGTCTCTGATAAACGGAGATCCAATCGTCAAGCCGGTTTCTTGTGGGCTGGCACGGTTCTTTTTCGCTCTCGCTGTTTCTACGGCGTTCTCTAACTGTTCCACTATCTGCTTTAGAACTTTGAGCAAGTCGCTCAAGACAGGATCGTTTTTTATGTGGCTTAAAATGTCCTCTTCTAGTTTTCTAGCTCGGCGTTTTAGTTCAATAAACACAGGTATTTGGCTTGGTTCATATACCAAGATACTCTTAAACTTTCCTATTATACTGTTTAATTCATTCGCACTTTTTTTTCTATATGTAATTTTAGCCTGGGCCTTTTTAAAATCATCATCGTGATACTTCCGATTGATTTTATTAACCAGATCAATGAGTTGTCGTCTTTGTAAATCAATCACTTTCTTGTCTTTTGTTTTATTATCAAATATAACAACACGCTTTCCGCAATCATCAAGCAGACGACGAAAACTAATTTTTCTGTTGTTTTTTTTTAATTATTTCTATGATTTCTTATATTCACAAAATATTTTAGTGCAGTAGCGGCAGTAGCGTACCCAGGATCGTCTCATGGTGGGGGAGGGGAGGAGAAGGGTTTACATTTTTCCCAGCATTAGATATATATATATATATATATATATATATATATATATATATATATATATATATATATATATATATATATATATATTAGAGGCGTAGCGACCATTGCCGGCGCCCGAGGACAAACTTTTGATTTGCACCACCCATGAAACTTTGGGAAGATATTGAGAATACCCCCGGGGAGGTTTCTGCGTTAAAAACATTATCGAATTCGCAGGGGTTGCCCCCCGGCAGGCGCGATTTGTTTTTCCTTTATATATGTTGTATAAAAATAAAAGTCGATTGCGGTCTCACAACGTTCATCCGATAGCTATCAAACTTCAGGTAGAACACTACCTGGAAGGATTTTGCAAAAAAAAATATTTTATTTTCGCAAGAGCGGCGCCACTGGAGGGTGCGATTTTTCTCTATATCTATCTATCTATATATATATATATATATATATATATATATATATATATATATATATATATATATATATAATTTTTTTTTTTTTTTTTTTTAATACTTTTATTTGCAATTAAAACAAGTACATCAAAATCACATTTTTTACATAGTTTCAAATGAAAACGAAAGGTTTTGAACATGTACATAATGAATATTTACATGATGTCATGTATATGATTATAAAAAAAAATTGCAAAGGATGACAGTAAAAGGGGTGAAGGTCAAATAAAAGTGTCAGAAGTCTGTGTGGGGAGTGGAAAGGATATTTTTCAGAGAATGTCAATGGGACATTGGAGCATTTTCTATGTAGGGAAACAAATTAAGTTGACTAGTTAAAAGAGTGTTTTTTTTTATGTACTGGTCGCATTGAGTTTTCAAAAGGTTGCTGTGTAAAAAATGAGGGGAAAGAAACAAGATTTAGAACTTTAAAAAAGTAAATGAATAGATATTCGAAATTGATGTTGGGGTGGGTGGTGGGGTCGTTGGAACAGTTAAAGGGAAAGTGGGGTTTTCATGTCTGAGGGTAAGTGGATAGAGGGGGAGAGGGGGGAGTGGGTAGATGTGTCTGACGAGGCGTGGAGAGGGTGTCTGCGTGTTTTTAAGGCAAGCCAAGCGTCAAATTATGTGCTGTGTTATCTGACTGCTGAGGTGTTACCATTTATAGTGTGTGTGGGTGGGGGGGGGGAAGGTTTGACGAACAGATTGCTGTGTGAGCGATTTAGTGGGAGGGTGAAAGGTTGGTATGTTCAAGTCGGTGTTTATGTTTAGTTGAATGTTTAGTACTGACAGGTTAGGGGTGGGTAGGCGTGTAGCTATCACGGGGTTTGGGGATACAGTTCAGTTTTATAGGTCAAAAATTGGTGTTCACATAAAAGAGTTAGTAAAGTTAACAAAACAAATGTAAGTGTTAATTTGGTGATAATAAAATGAATACAAAAGGAGTACGGGTCATTGGGGTCATTTGTACTTTGTGGACCAAAGTACCTTACATATATGATAATGGTAATATAGTAACAAATGATAGCTTTACAATGTTTGTAAGCTTTATAAATAAAACAATAGACAAAAAGCAACAATAGGAAAATAAATGGCAAATGATAAATGATGCGACACAAAGTGGGGACATGGGGGTTGAGGGGTGGGAGTTACATTAATGTTGTTAGAAATGTATTTGGATAATACATCATTTTCACTATTTAACATAGTATTTCATCACAGGGGTGGGGGTCATGGGGACGAGGGGATGCAGTTTTGATATTGGGATCATGAGGTTTAGGGGCGGGGGGCGGGGAGGGTGTGATGAATATATAGATCTCAATTCTGTATGTACAAATAATTTTTTTTGTTTGTCGTTGACATACTTCCATGGATTAAAGTGTTAGATAGTTAAAGTCCTTATGGTCTAAATTTATGAGTTAAAAAATTATTATTGAAAGTTTTGGGAAATAATTTTCATTTATCAAACTGAAAGTAATAATTTTCGGCATGTTCATTAAACACAAGTTACAAAAAAATATCATATTTTACGAAAATTCTAATTATGTCTTTATTTAGTCCTATAGCACTTACTTCCCTTTGATGAATTAGGAAAACACAATTACTTCCCTTTATAAAACCATTGCATTAGTGGAAAAGAATTTACTTTTTATTACTTTGTTTTGGTGTTGGGAAAAAAATAATTACATAATTAGCGGGGATTGATCAAGTGCAAATGTTGTAGGTATTTTACGGATAAGCTTGGAGTATTATAATTGTTCATTAAATTGAAACAGGCGCGTTCGTTTAAGTGAGTGCAAAAGACTATGAATAAGTTGGGGTACTATAGTCGTTCATTAAGCTAAAACAGGTGAATCCGCCCCGGGCGTTTATGTTCGCGTTAGTGTTTTCTTTGTGTTTAGGTGGGTTTGCGTTAGTGGTTGCGTTTTTATTTGGTTCGTTTTTGTTCTTTCTTGTTTCGTTTTTGTTTGTCTTTTTTTCTTTGGGTTTGTATTTGTTTTTTGGTTGGTTTTGCGTTTGGATTTGGTTTGTTTTCGTTTGCTTTTTCGTTGTTTTTTGTGTTGGTATTGGTGTTTGTGGTTGTGGTTGGGTTTGTTGTTAGGTTTTTGTTTTCGTTTGCTTTTTTGTTTGTTTTTTCTTTGTGTTTGTATTGGTGTTTGTGGTTGTGGTTGGGTTTGTTGTTAGGTTTTTGTTTTCGTTTGTATTTGTAATTGTGTTAGCGTTATGCTTGCGTTTTGTTGTTTAGGTTTTGGTTGGTTGTGGTTTGGGTGGGCAATGCCGGGTTTATGATGATTACTAAACACACAGGTAATGGTCTTTAACAGAAAGGTTTTTCACAGAAGCCAGAGCAGGGCCTGGCCGGGACGGCTAGTATATATATATATATATATATATATATATATATATATATATATATATATATATATATATATATATATATATATATATACGAGAAAAATGGCCCGTTGAGGAAGGATACAACGGGCGCTAGGCTGATAGTGCTGTCTCTTTTCTCTAAACTAAAACCACCCCCCACACACACACACACCATCCCCCCCCCCCCCCCCCCCCCCCCCACACCCAAAAAAACATGTCTACCGTCCCATTCAACGAAATATAATTATATACTTTTTCCAGTGTCCGCCCCCTCCCCGAAAATTCTACCCCCGCCCCCGAAAATTTCAAGTACCCCCACCCCTCTCCGGGGAGGAAAAAGTCTGAAAGAAACACTGGTTTCGCGCTTAGCCACTACCCGAAGAATTGCATTAAAGAAATTGCAAGAAAACCACTTTTTAGATTAGACACATTAATTAGGCGGTAATTTTATTATAGAGTATCGATGAAGAAATTTCTTTTGAGTTAGGGAGGGGGGGGGGGGGCTCAGACGTTCTTACGCGGGGGTGGGGCTTCGCCCCTACCCGAAGAATCGTATGAAAGAAACTCTTCACGCAAACCACTTAGATTAGACAAAATTTCCTTTTTATTCAATGTTTACTCGAGAATCAATGACGTCATATTACTGTGTGCACTCTCCGGCTTGAGATTATTTTCTACTCTACCCGAAGAATTGTGTGCAAGAAACT